ATGTTAAATTAGAATTATTAACAAGCACTTAACACGTTCGCTGCCAGCGTCATTTGTGACGGCTGCATTCCTGTATTTTATACAAAGAAAATGAAATTAATCTTATAGGTACAGCTAGTTGAAGTTATGAGCTACGAAATTACATTTGGGGATGTAACTCGTTTTAGCTTCATTTGTTTCAATAGTTTGTTTAGATTCATTCAATCGAATAAACTGTAATTGAGAGGGACGTCACTGGAACGAACGTGTTAAACTGACTTTTCGAAACTTCTTCATAAAAACCATAAATTTACTAAGATTTCAATTTAGCTGTATTTCAGTTATGCTATTACTAAATTATTGTAAAAGTAACCGCACCTTTCCAGTAATTGCAAAAAAAAAAATTAACTCATCTGATAGTTCTAGTGTTAACGATTTCTCAAAGAAGCATTTGTACCTTTCCAATTATAAAAGAAATCAAGAAGAAATCATTCTGATCCATCAAGTAATTCTAATGTTAACACGTTGACTGCCACGAGAATTTCGAGCGTTTTGTTACAGCAATTAAATTATTCTTTCGTAGTGAAGGCAAATGGTGTTAGCAGTAATTAGTAATCATTTGATATTAGCACTCATACTACGCTATTGTCTAACTGCTCGTGTTACTAAAGATTTTTAGTCGATATCAATCTTCTTATTGTAATTGTTCTCAAGCAATTTCGAAGCTCCGGTCATCGATGACCTCCGTGGCAATCAACGTGTTAATGTAATAATCTTCGGTGTAGTTCGAAGAATAGAAACTCAACTGTTTTCCTTTCAATATCGCTTTGTTTCTTGCTGGTACACCAGAAGAATACGACGATATCGAACTTAGGTCGTTGGACGAGGGACCAATGATTCAAATATTTTTGTCCGCACAGTGCATCCCAGGATGCATAACACAATGCATCAAGATGCTTACTTATCATTGCGATTCTTACCTTGCAACATTCTCGTGTTCGATCAGCTTGTGCAACTCGTATACACGATCTTTTTCCATCATACGAGTCGACCTTACCTCCTCTTCTCCTTCGGGACACAGGGACACACGTACACGGCTCCGTCTGGGTCCCACACAGGAACGTCTCTCGTGCAGAGGAGGCAGGCCAGGCAAACGGCAGGCGCTAACGTCGATGCACGTACCTGACGGCCGCCTGATCTCGGGTATATACATTTCTCCGTCGTCGGCACTGTTTTCCCTTTCGCGTATGACTTTTTTCTCCTCCTGTCTCGGTTCCCGCGATTCGACGCGAGCAATGGTAAGGGAACAACGATTTCGGAGGTGGAGGTACAAGCTGAACGATGGGACGAAATCAATGGGACCGGGGAAAAGTTGGGAAGAGAAATAGGGAGAGTGCACGACAGAAGCTCCACGGTTGCGAGTGATTCTCGCGCATCGCATTCCATCGGCGCGTAGCAAGGATGACCGGTCAGTTCCTAAATGAGAATAAAATTCAGTATTTAACCCTTTGCACTCGAGAGATGACTCTCAGTCACCACTTGATTTGACACAGTAAAACTATGGAACGTGATGTTTAATGTTAAACTTTGTGTAATGCCTCGATACGTGAAACATTGGAATAAAACAGCTTTGTTCCTCAATGTACCGGTGATTTCTCTTCGAGTTAGCAAACGGTTAATCCTAATCGTACCGCGTGTTTTTATAACGAATCATAGCACGATGCGACTCTCGGTCACTTATGAGAATAAAAGGAATGATTG